GAGGAGGAGGAGGAGGAGGAGGAGCAGGAGGAGCAGGAGGAGGAGGAGGAGGCACAGGAGACGCAAGATGAAGGGGCCGACATCAGGCACTCCCCGCCGCACCCCTGTTTGGAAGTTGCGTCCTCCGCGATGAACGGCACGATATCGTCATGGAAGGCCTCTCTGAGGAGGGGACAACACGCTACTTCCTGCTGCCCTCGTCGTCCTCGCCGCCCTCGTCGTTATCATCGTCCTACTTACTCATCCTACTCCGTCTGGTCAGATTCCCACTCCTCCTCCTCCTCCTCCTCCTCCTCCTCCTCCTCTCCTCCTCCTCCTCCTCCTCCTCTCCTCTCCTCCTCTCCTCCTCCCCCTCCCCCCCCCCCCTCCTCCGCCTCCTCCTCCTCCTCCTCCTCCTCCTCCTCCTCCCTCCTCCTCCCTCCGCCTTCTCCTGCTTTCCCTCCCCGTGATCCACATCTTCCTCCTCCGCCTCCTGCCCTCGATCCGTCAGATAAGGTCCGCTCCTTGGAGTAATGTTGCCCTCACGCTCTGCACTGTCTGTGGCAGGACCGCTGCCGCCGACCAAAGGTGGCTCGTCGCAGCGCGTGCGCCCTCCACGCACGGGGGGCTCAGAAACCCGCCGACTCCTCGGGGTGACGGCGTGTGAGATGCTTCCCCCTCTGCAAACCCCTCCCCCAGGATCCCGGTCCGGCCGGTTTGGAGGGGGGTGGAAGGGGGGGGCAAACATGCCGCCCGCACCCTTGGAGCCTCAGGGGGCCCCAAAACGGGCCAAGAGGGCCCCAGACAGTCCAAGATTGCTACGAGTCACCGAAAGATCGCTCCACGACGCCCAAGATTGCCTTCAGACGGTCCAAGAGGCCCCCAAGACGCTCCAAGAAGCCACCAAGAGGCGTTCCCAGAGGCCGTACAAAAGCAAAAATCGTCTCATTCCCACAAGAAAAAAAAACGTATATTTATAGCACATTCGCCTCTTGGGCTTTCACGGGGCCCACAACAGCCCAAAAAGCCTTCAAGATCGGCCCAAGATAGCCCAAGAGGCCCGCAAGAGGGCTCCAAGACGGCCCAAGAGGGCCCCAAGACGGCCCCAGAAGCCTCCAAAACGGCCCAGGAGGGCCCCAGGACGGCCCCAAAAGGAGGCCCAGAAGGGGGAACCCGAATGGACATTTCGAGCAATCGGCCCCGAAAAACCTGAGGAGGCGCCAAGAGGCCCCTAAGACGCTCCCACAAGGCCTAAAAGAGACCCACAGAGGCCTCAGCACTGCCCCCAAGAAGCCTCAAAAGTGCTGCCAGGAGAGCCCAGAGAAGACCAAGAGCAGAGCCGCGATCCGCAGACCGTCCCCGACGAAATCCCAAGAAGCTGAAACTCCAAGATTTCCTAGAGATCGCGAGCGTTCCGCAAACTCCGTTTTCCACTCTTTGGCGGGATGCAAATGGGGGGATAAGTCCAGGGGGGGAGAGAGGCGCAACCGAGGTACAAATTGTACCTACGCCCCATGGAGAAGGTACAATTTGTACCGACGCCACGCAGACAATGTACAAATTGTACTTTTGACAACGTCCGCGACATGTGCGAGGACGCTAACGGGGGGAGAAGGCACAATTTGTACTTGCAACCCGCAGAGAAGGTACAAGTTGCACCCCAACAAGACGGTACCGGATACTCATCCCCCCATGTCCTGATCCCCCCATCGCAATCTTTGGACACCCGAAATGGGTACCGAAAGAATGGGCAACATGCCCAACAACAAATGTTGTCCCGAACCAACAGCGGCCGCTGTTGGACAGGCGGCCTTCTGTCTCAAATGGACACAGGCCGCTGCGGCGCGGACAGCGAGTCCTGTTCAAAATGAACAGGAATTGCTGTTGGGCATCGTGCCCATTCTTTCGGTACCCATGTCGGGCGTCCAGACAATCCGGCCGAACTCTTACGGCCGCCCCAAAAGGGGTCGGCGGTGCGGCGTCGGCCCATGCATCTCACGCATCTTGCCGACGGCTGACGGCCCCATGCAGCGGGGGCGACGTCGGCGGCCCTTGCACCCCCCCCCCCCGTCCCCCGCACTCAGACCGTCGCGCAATGCTGCAACCTCCTCCCCCTCCTCCTCCTCCTCCTCCTCCTCCTCCTCCTCCTCCTCCTCCTCCGACCCCCCCACCCAGCGCTCTCGGTCGACTTCGTGCTCCCGTGCCGCCCGCGGAGAGTAGCAACTCGTCAGCCCAGGCCGCCACGCACGGCCACCGGCTTCTCGCGTCGCTCTTAAGATCACTGGGGGCCCTCTAGGCCTCGTGAGGGGTGCTCTGGAGCCCATCTAGGCCTCCCTGGAAGAGCTGCTGCTGACCTCACATCTAGGCCTCCCATCTAGGCCTCCCCATCTAGGCCTCCCATCTAGGCCTCACCTTTGGGGGCAACACCCAGAGCAGCTGCTGCCGACCCGCGCGCGCGCGCTCGCCCCCCAGAGCTGGGCCTTGGACGGGTACGACTGGCCGCGGAGCTCCAGCCAGCTCGCGAAGGCCTTGGGCCAGGGGCCGTCCAGGCTCTCGGGCTGCGCGTGCAGGTCCGCCGACAGGTTGTCGTAGAGGCCCATCATGGCGCGCTGGACCCACGGGTCGTTCACCTGTACCAAATTGCAGCATCATATGGCACTGAATCTGGTGTCGTGTCACATGTGCACTTGACGACTCGACGTCTTTACATGCCGCCGCCCCTTCGGCGCGAACGACCCCACAATCACCAGCCACGAATGAGCCTCCGAAAGATTGGTGGACGCTCAAATGCCGCGTCCGCCAGCAGCTGCCAAGGAAATGCCACCGAAAGCCGTTCGCCGAGGAGGAGGCGCGGAGGAGGAAAACTAAACTCTGACTACCTACCAGACCACCCCAACCCAACCCGAAGGCCCGAATTGCGGGTTGGGGGGGGACGGGTTCCATTTGTGTTTTCTCCATGTTCCCCGACCCCCCCCCCACACTGAAAATGGAGGGCAAATTGAGGCCTTCGGGTTGGGTTGGGGTGGTTTGGTGAGTGGTGAAACTCAGAAACGTGGTTTGGGAGACCTGGCGATGGCGTTGTGTGTGAGCGCGCGTATCCGTATACACGTTCGAATGCAAGTTAGCTTGCGCGCCCCGCTTGCTGCTGACGCGGCCGTGCTGCGCATCGCCGGTGCAAGACAAGCGTGTGCGCGCATTCTACGATGCCCAACCGGCCCTATCACACAGACGGGGTCGGTAGTGCCCCAGCCGTGGCTGCGCCCCACGACCGCGCCAAGGTGCCCAGGGTCGGTTCCGTTCGCCGCCCTCGGCGGAATGCCCGCGGGGAGAGGTCCGCGCGGAGGCCCGGCCGGAGCAGCAAGACGTGGGCGGCTCGCGCGGCGGAAGGCTCGGCGGAGGACAAAGAGAGCCCCCACCCCCGAGGGTGCGTCGTGCGCCGGCGGAGGGCCGGCGGAAGGCCGGGCGGATCGACGCCAGCGCGGGGGGCTTCACCGGGCACTGGTGGCGGGCTGTCTGGCGGACGCGCGACGGGTGGGTATCTATCTTGTCTGAGTGTATGTCTGTCTGTCTGTCTGTCTGTCTGTCTGTCTGTCTGTCTGTCTGTCTGTCTGTCTGTCTGTCTGTCTGTCTGTATGTATGTATGTATGTATGTATGTATGTATGTATGTATGTATGTATGTATGTATGTATGTATGGTCACAGGTGGCGGAGCTTAGCACGACGCCGTGCTGTGCGGCAGTTCAGGGCCTGTCGAGTCTTGCTGACCACGGGGTGGTGCGGGCCAGCGGAGGGGGGGGGGACGGTCGGGGGGAAGGTGTCTCACTCCTCTCACGAGCTGCACTTCTGGCCCAAGTTGGGGCTGCATCTTTGCTTGGCGTGCGGTATCACGGCCACGGAGGGCCCACGCCGTTTGATTACCGAGTGCAGTACCCGCACCAAGACAGGCCTTGAGAACCTTCAAAGAATTCAGAGAGGTTCTTTCCCCAGCCGCCAGGGGCCGTCCAAGGCGTCTCCGGCCAGGGAGCTGGGAAGTCAGGCGGGAGACCGTCCTCTGTGGCCCGCCGCCTGGGGTCCTCGTTGGCTGAGTTCGCTGCCACCGTGTGGGTATCAGCGAATTCCAGCGAATTCCTCCTCCTCCTCCTCCTCCTCCTCCTCCTCCTCCTCCTCCTCCTCCTCCTCCTCCTCCTCCTCCTCCCTCTTCCTCCCGCCCCCCGCCCTCCCCCTCCCCCGCTCCCCCGCCGCCTCCACGCGCGCCCCCTCCGAGAGGGGAGCCCGAGGGGGGCGCGCGCAGAAGCGCAGCCCGAGGCCCCGGGGCGGGCCTGGAACAGAGGGTCGAACTCCCACTCCTCCGGGGGGGGGGGGCGGCGTGGCCGGCCAGGCGCGGCGGGGCCGATCGACGGGTCCGCCCGGGTCGCTGCTGGACGTCGCCGTCGTCGTCGTCGTCGTCGTCGTCGTCGTCGTCGTCGTCGTCGTCGTCGTCGTGACCGTCGCTGCCGTCGTCGCGACCGCCGCCATCTCTGTCTCGCCGTTTCCGTGGCCGTCGTCGTCGGTCTCGGAAGAAGGGCATAGGGGGTCATGAGGGAGTGGAAGGGTACGCGATTCTCTTTGGAAGGGGGCCCAACGTGTGAGGGGAAGCTGGGGGGCCGTGGAGATTGTAGGGAGTCATAAGTGGCCAGGGGGAGAACAATGATGATGATGATGCTGATGATGCTGCTGCTGCTGCTGCTGCTGATGATGATGATGATGATGATGATGATGATGATGATGATGATGATGATGATGATGACAAGGATACCGATAACGATAACGATGCTGATGATGCGGATGCTGCTGGTGGTGATGATGCTGATGATGCGGATGATGATAATAACAACGATAATGATGATGATGCTGATGATGATGATGATGATGATGATGATGTTGGTGATGCTGATAATTAGGATGATAAGTAATATGCTGATGCTGACGCTGACGCTGCTGATGCTGATGCTGATGATGATGATGATGCTGATGCTGATGATGATGATGAGGATGATGATGAGATGATCATGATCATGATCATGATGATGATGCTGATGATGATGATGATGATGATGAGTCTGATGAGTCTGATTGTGATGATGATGACGACGACGACGAGGAGGAGCAATAGGAGGAGGAGGAGGAGGCGGAGGGGTGGAGGAGGAGGAGCAGGAGGAGGGATGAGGATTGATAAGGTGAGGGTTAAAGACCGACCAGGAGGAGGGATGATACAGATAAGGAAAAGGAGGAGGAGGGGGGGAAACAGGGAGGATCACAACCCCACTCCCCCTGTGATCGAGAACGGTTGTCTTCGATGCTGCCGCCACGCCTGACGATGTGGATGCGCATGAACGGTGGCACCTGGTTGAGCTTGCCAACCAGGGAAGGAAGTACGAGTGATAGTCAAGGAATTGGACAAGGCAAACATGAGCGCTAAACATCGGTCCCCGATACTGCTCGGTAGGACAGTGGGCTAAATAACATGCATTACAGTGCGGAGGAAGATGAGGACGAGAAGAAGGGAGGAATGAGAGGACTGCGCTGCCATCAGACAGGCCAGACAGGGCCAGACTTGGAACAGCCAGGTGCAGCAAACGGAGAAGATCTTTTTGCACTGCTGTGTGGGGGGGGGGCACCATCCCACAGTAGGGCAGCGACACGCCACACACACAGTAAGAGGAAGAAGCAGGGCTCGAACGTTCTGTCCACCCTGCTGAGGCCCACCAACAGGCCCTCCAAGAGCGGCAGCGCACAACGGAAACGTGACGACTTCTGGCCCCCCTACAGGCTGCAAAAAACAACGTTGCGGCTGTCACGGAGTCTTGTCGCCACGGCTCGCGACAGGATAGAACGGAGCACCGCTAAAAGGAAGGACAGGGGTGCCAGCCGCTGCTGCTGCCGCTCCTCCTGCTCCACCTGCTCCTCCTCCTTCTCCTCCTCATCCTCCAACAGCTCCCCTTCCATGTCCTCCTCCTGCTACTGCTCCTCGTCCTACTCCCTCGTCCCACCTACTTTCGTCCATCCTCCTTCCTCTCTCCTACCTGCCTCCTTTCCCGCATCCCTCTTCCCGTCCCCTTCCTCTTCCCTCCTCGCTCCGTCCTCTCCCCTCCCGCCCTCCTCCTTCGGTGCTTCTGCTCCCTCCTCCTCCTCCGTCTTCCTCCCTGCCCCGTCTGCGCCGTGCAGCTTCCCGCGGGCGATCCGAGGGTGGGGCCAGCAGGTCCTGCCTTTGTGGGCCCCGGAAACGGCAGGGCCGCTTTGTCACCGTTTCCCAATAAATGTCCCTTGAAAATGGAAACGGCAAAAAAAACGGCGTCGGAACCGGCAACAAAACGGCAAAACGGAACCAGTACAAAAACGGCCCTGTCGTTTCCAGGCCCACTAAGGGTCCTGCCAGCGGTGCGGCCTCTGCGCCCATAGGTTGTACCACTCGGGCTGCCTCACGGAGATGCCCCAGACCTTGGAGGGACGGAGAGGACGGGATGACGAGGGACGCGGACGGAGGGGCGGAGGACGGAGGGGCCGGGGGGGACGGGGACCCTTAGCGGGGGGGGGGCTGGGGAGGAAGGAGAAGGGTGGCGGATAGATAGAAAGGGGGGCGAGGGAGGGGCAAGAGGGGGAGAGGGGGAGGGGGAAGGAGGAGGGAGCAAGGGGGAGGGCGAGGGAGGGGGGAGGAGGACAAGCGGGTTCGAGGATTGACCAGGAGGAGAGGATGCGGAGCAGGAGAAAGAAAAAGAGGAAAGAGGAGCACAGGCAATGGGAGCGGAAGTGGAAGTGGTACGCGTGCGGGGGGCGGGAGCGCCGAGGGCCGTCTCGGGTAAGTCTTGGCACTTGTGGGGGACTCGTGGCGCCGGCCCGAAGCGGCCTGCGGCCGTCTTCGCCTGTCTCAAGGCCGAAGGAGCTTGATACAGGCCCGCTGGCCGCTGGGGCCAAAGGTGGGCACCGCGAGGGAGAAAAGGGTGCGGCCCGGAGGTCCGGGGGGGCCAGGCGCTGCTCGCATCACCTATGCGCGTGCGCGGGATGACCGCGCAACGCCCCCAAGCGCGGCGTGCCGAATCTTACAGTCATACGTCTATCTGGCCGCGCTGCTGCGCCCCCCGACGCATCAATCCATCGATGGGCTAGTTCGGGCGGCGAAGCCGAAGGATCCCCTGGCCGTCGCAGCACGCACAGATCCCGAGATGCGAAAGCGCCGCTCTTGGGGATCTCGTGTGCCGTCTTGAAGCCGTCTTGGGTCCCTCTTGGGCTGTCGTGGGCCGTCGTGGGCAGCCCTTGATACCCTCTTGAACACCTTTTGGGCTATCTTGGGGCGAAATTGGGGGCCTCTTGGGCCGTCCTGGAGTCTCTGGGGACCGAGATGGCGAACATGCGAAAATCGCACACCAACCTGAGAACATCAGCGCTGTCTATAGACTGGCGGCCTCTTGGGGGTACTCTTCGGGCCCCCAGTGCGCCGTTTTGGGAGCAAGCTTGTCTGTATTGCGGACATATCGGGGCCATCTTGGGTCGTCTTTGGCCCGTCTCAGCTGTCTCGAAGGTCTCTTCGGGACCTCTTGGCGCTTCCTTGGGCCGTCTTGGGCCATCACCGCCCGGCTTGGGCCACCCCAGGGCGCCTCGGACGGACTCAGCCTCGTCTTAGCCCGAGGCGTGCCAGATTATGTGTTCCAGGTGTCGTGGAACTGCTTGCACGAATACAGATGTATTGCCTTTAATCTCCATGGGGCACTGCCCCGACATGTGTCATCACGCCCCGGCTAGCACAGCCAAGGAATTCGCACTGCCGCGACGCATTGCCCCCGCGCGCGGCAGCGCCAAGCAAGCCTGATGCCCGCGGCTTCCCCTCGAAGCACGCCGACAAGAAGGCGCGAAACAGGAGGGGGGAGCAAAGCGCAAGAGGGCGAACCAGAGGGAGGAAAATAGACGAACGCGTTCCACTACTCGCAAAGTCACTACTCGCACATGGCCTGGATCCGCCGCGAGGGATCTACGATAGATTACATCGAAGCAGACATGTTTTTTTTCGGACGTTTGCGAGTAGGCACGTTGCGAGTAGTGGAACTTGCTCGGCGAGGGAAGGAAGGGGGGACGGCAACACGAAAAGAGACCGCATGACAAAATATTTTGTTTCTATTTCTCCACCGCCCGCGTGTGCGTCTCAGTGCGTGCGTGCACGGAGCGCGCCAGAGCCGAGCTCACGAGCACGGCGTCGATGACATGCGTAAGCTTCGTGGCAGCAAGCCCGCCCTCAAGAGGGTGGACACCCAGGCAGCACGTGCCTGGATGCCTTGCTGCGGCCGCGTCGGCCAGAGTCTGCAAAGCAGGATGCCTCAAGAGGTCGATCCGGCCCAAAACACTCAGGAGTGCGAGCCTTCCGGAGTCAAGGCACGCGTGCGCTCAAGAGCACACGTGTGCGCACCTTCCCCCAGGGACAGCAGGTGCCCCGCCCGCCTGGAAGAGCAGGTCCTCCAGGCGGGCCCCTGGATCAACATGTGACCCTCGACAGGGAGACAACATGTGCCGCACTGCCGACCTCGACCACCCGACGCTCAGGAGCTATCAGGAGGAAGGGGAGGGAGGAGGAAGCCAAAATTGGCAACGGACCCGTCTGCTAGCCCGCCGGTGCGTGCGCGCGCGTGGAAGCGAAACAAAGCTTCCGGCCTCCGGCCAGGTCATATTGTTTCTATTTCTCCACCGCCCGCGTGTGCGTCTCAGTGCGTGCGTGCACGGAGCGCGCCAGAGCCGAGCTCACGAGCACGGCGTCGATGACATGCGTAAGCTTCGTGGCAGCAAGCCCGCCCTCAAGAGGGTGGACACCCAGGCAGCACGTGCCTGGATGCCTTGCTGCGGCCGCGTCGGCCAGAGTCTGCAAAGCAGGATGCCTCAAGAGGTCGATCCGGCCCAAAACACTCAGGAGTGCGAGCCTTCCGGAGTCAAGGCACGCGTGCGCTCAAGAGCACACGTGTGCGCACCTTCCCCCAGGGACAGCAGGTGCCCCGCCCGCCTGGAAGAGCAGGTCCTCCAGGCGGGCCCCTGGATCAACATGTGACCCTCGACAGGGAGACAACATGTGCCGCACTGCCGACCAACATTCCCCAACCAAGTCTGAAAGCGGAACAGGCTCCAACTTTGCTCACGGGCTCCACGTTAGCTCGAGCAGCGTGTCCCTCCAAAGCAGCACGCACCGGCCCCAGACCACCTCACCGTAAGAGGCAAGGCGTAATAACATGCATAATGAATGAAACGTGGGATGTGTGAAGATGAATTTCTCTGGATAACTGCCCGGATTTCCGCCCATTGTCACCGCGTGCATGAACAGAGCTCTCCTACGAACGTGGCCGACATCCGGCGGCGCCGCTTGACTGCGAACGGGGGTGCTTCGCAACTGCCTCGTCCACCAGCTGGCCGATGCACTTCACCGCGAGGCTGATGCGCTTGAGGCCCCAATCCGGTAATCTCATCTCCGTCGCCTCCGCCGTCGCTTGGTCGATGTACTGCCTGGCAGTCTTGGCCTGCGTCCACCGGCCGAGGTGCTGCGTCGCGTCGTAGCTCGTGAACCGGGTAAAGTGCCAGGTGGCGCCGCCTCGCCTCAAGCAGTACGGCGTGAAACGAAGTGAGCTCATCCCAAACATCCGGCCCAGCCTGGCGATCTCTGCCGCGAAGCCGGCGTAGCCCAGATCCATGATTTTCTCGTCGTGCCCGGTGTCCTGGAGGATCGCGCCCGCAAGTTTGAGAACCAGGGGGTCGTAAAACGTGACCTGCTCAGACGCCCCGCTCCGTTTCGCGCCTTTGCTGTCTGGTAGTGCAAGCGTGAGGAGCGAGCCGCCGCCATAGAGGCGGAACTGCCGGGAGGTGGCACCAACGACCTCGCCGACGCGAAGCAGGCCAACGAAGGAGAGGAGGATGCAGAACGCCAGCCAGACCTTGCCCTCGATGAGCGCCGCCGCAGCCATGCTGAGGACGAGGTCGCGAGTAGCTGGGATTGCCCGGCGTCTGGCCGTAACCCGGGCCCAGTTTTTGAGGTAAACCTCAGCTGTTCCCAAGTGCCGCCGGCATTTCGGGTAGTGGCGCTTGAATGCGCTGACCAGGTCGCTGGCCCAATACTGTGGCAGGTCGTCCAAATAGAGGTGGTTGATGTATTCCCCGACTTCCTCGTCCAACTCGTCCAGAGATCGCGGCCACGGCCGCCTGTGCGAAGAAATGAATTCGAAAAAGCGTGCAAGACTGTGTCGGTATCGTCGCGCTGTGGCTGGTTGTATTCCCTCGTGCTTGATGTGCGCCTTCCGGGCGACCATTTTCGGCCGCCTCCTAGTGCTACTCATCATCGCAATGCAGCCGCCGACTGGCGGCGTCGCTGTGGTTCCAGGCGGAGACCGTCCAGAAGGTGAGCACATACGTGTTGGACGCGAGGGAGAACGCCGCAAAACGGCGACACAACCGATTCAAGATACGCGACGAAGAGCGCCCCTTCGCCACCACGCAACTGACGACCCGACTATCAAATATATGGAAAAAGCGTCTCTTGTGGAAGTCTTTGCTCCCAGCCTGCGCCCGCACGTAGTTCAAGAACGCTGCGAACTCTAGTGCGTTGATGTGCTGATGATGCTTCCAGCTGTAGCTTTGCACCGTCGCCCACTCCCAACAAAATGCCGGGTAGGGCACGTCCTGCCTGCAGCCGTCGAGGAGAGCCTGAGTGGAGAGCCTCACGTCCGACCCTCTGTAGTCGGCTTGCCGGAGCATCGCCTTCAAGTGGTCCTCCTCGAAGCCTCGGCGCATGGTAGACATCACCTTCAAGATATTATCGATTACCTCGGGCTGCACCTCCGGGCCACGCAACCGGGCAGTGGCCTCGCCAAAGGCCCGTGCCAGCCACAAAGGCTGTTCTGAGGGCGCTGCAAGGAGCGTGGCGCCCTGAGCAGCAATGGCACCCTCAGCGGCCCATCCGGCCAGGAGGTCAGCCAGCTTCAAGGGGAAGTCTTCTGCGAACGCGCCCTGGCCCTCAGGAAGGCACATGCAAAATCCCTTGCCGAGGAGCGCGTCCAACTCCACGCTGTTGTGCAAGATCCGGAAGGGCGTGCCGATCTGCGAGCCAAAGCGGCACGTGCAAGAACACGAAGATCAGATTCCCTGCGTTCCGGCCGCTCTCTCCACGCCGGGCTGCCGCCACAGCCAACTGCCAGACGGGTGCAAGATCAAGCAGAGTCTGCCTTCTGAACTTCGACTTTGGAGAGAATCGACTGCTGCCGCCACAGCGGCGTTCCAAGCGCGAAGACGCAAGAGCGTGCGCTGTGGTGCCCACGGCACTCCGGCTGGCCATGCAGGCTCTCGGAACCGGTCGTCTCGGTGATCGCACCCTCCAGGCAGCCAGGCTTCCAGAAAGCAACTGGCGCCCTTCTGGCACCGCGGCGGCGCTGGGCATGTACGAACCAAGACCCCCTTCGCGCGGATGGCGGTCGGCACGGCGGCGTCCGTCTCGAACCCGAACAGGGCCGCGTACGGCATCGTGAACATGCACTTCTGGCACCCGGTCTCCTCGTCGAAGTGCTGTCTGAGGCAGCCCTCAGAACACAGGGAAGCGCTGCACCGAGCAGGACAAGGAAACATGCGTGCCCTCGGTGCCCGACCGCATGCACTGCACCTCGTAGGCGTCTCGTCGTCGTAGCGTTTCTCCTCGCCGTCCTCCTTCCTCTGGTCCTCGATGCCCATGCCGAGCTGCTCATTGAGATTCGCCGCCCTGTCTCCGCGTGCCTCGGCCGCGCCGGGGTCCAGGGCAGGGATCAGCGAGCGGGCCTCAGAAGCCCCCCCGCCTCTTTCCGAAGCGTCGCTCGAGCTGACGACGTTCCGGATCGATGCTCGCAGGTCGGTGAAGCAAAGCGGGAGCAAAGCCGAGGCGACAATGATCTCGTCGACGACCTGCGGCTCCGGCTCGAGGACGCCGCCCGGCGCGAGCTCGGCGGAGACCACGAAAGTGAAGAGCTCCTGGAGGACCGCGTAGGCTGGGCGCCGGAAGTTCGCTGCGAAGCAGTAGCCTCCGACCCAGTGCTGGGCCGCGGCGGCAGGCCAGGCAGAAAGACACGACAGAGCGAGCGCCTTCCCGATAAGAACGTGGCCCTTGGAACGCTCGACCGCCAACGTGCCCTCGATGCCATCGAGCTCGCCCCCGATGATCTGCCCGGCGAGCCCCCTAATCAAACTCTTCCCCGCGTTCAATGGTAGCCCAAGAGCCGAGCATGCCTGGACGAAACGTTCGTGCTCCGCCGAACCCTCAAAATCGAGGCTCTGGATGTTGTCCCGGACCACGCGCACCCGCCGAAGGAAGTCGAATCCGTCCATGCAGACGATGCTGATGTCGCCCTCGGGCAAAGGCTCGTTCTTGAGCAGCTCCGTAGACGGAGAAACCCCGCACAGGTCGAAGACGAACCGGCGAGCCATGCATCGCATGAGGTCGACTGCGCCGAGCCACCCCATAGGGACGGCTCGCATGGCGACGTAAACCATCTCGCCCGGGTCCCCGCCGAAGGCCGAAGCGGGCACCTTCTTCTCGAAGGCGAAGTACCCAGCCCACGCGGCAGGCATCCGGAACAAGTTGAAGCAGCTCTGCATGTCCTCGGAGTCCAACGTGAGCACCTCGTCGTCGTCCAAAAGCACCAGGCCCAGCTGTCCGAGGTAAGGGGGCAGAGCGGCATCCCCCCGAAGAGGCCGAAAGAAGGCGTTCGCCGGGCAGAACACGCAGATGAACCGAAGGAGCGTGACGACCGCCCCGTTCACCTCCTTCAGCTTGTCGACCCCCATAGCCCCGTTGAGGACTGGGACGCCGGCCGCATCCCGGAAGAGGTCCTCCTCCGCCACCTGCTCGAAGAGCCCCTTGGCGTGGCCAGCTTTGACCAGGGAGTACCACTCAGCGTCGGAAGCGTGGACCCGAGACTTGGGGGTGATCGCCGGCCACGCGCTCCGCGGAAGGAGGCACCGAGTGGGGTCGGCTAAGTCGTCCCGCAACTCCTCGGAAACGAAATCGATTACCGGGAATAAGCACGCCGCGCCCACTGCAGGCCAGCAGGGAAGGACTTTGTCACAGATGAGCTGGCGCCTCCTCGCGCGAAGACGACGTTGTCGTAACGCCGGTGGCGGCGTCAGGAGGGCGCCAGGCGCCGCCGGGCGCCGTCGGGCGGTCCACGGGCGCTGTCGTAACGGCGGCGGCGTCGTCGGAAGGACGTCGGGCGCCGTCGGGCTCCGTCGGGCGGCCGCTGGGCGCTGTCGCACCGGCGCCGACGCGGGCGAGCTCGGCGAAGTACTTCGCTGCGAGGGCCGGGCACACAGGAAGCAGCTCGCGAAGTGAAGCCGTGGGCGGAGCGCCCGAAGCGCGGGCGGTGGAGTTGCCCTCTCCGCGGTCGCAGCCGGACCGAGCTGCCCCCATGGCCCGTGAGAACTCACCGAAGCGACCCGGCGAGAATCCCGCCCCGACGGCGAAGACGTGGAGCGCCTCGTAGGTGTTCGCCGCGTGCCCGCCTGCCTCGTCGAGCCAGCGCCTCCAGGAAGCCTCCCCGCAGGGAGGCGCTGAGCGGAGCGCCCGGGGGAGGAAGCCCAGGAGCTCCGCGAAGCCCTCGCTCAGCCTTGGTGCGGGGGCGCGCCCCAGCGGTCCTTGCCCCTGCCCCCCTTGTCCTTCTTGCTCTTGTCCTTGCCCTTGCCCTTGTCCTTGTCCTTGTCCTTGCCGCCCTTGCTGCTGCTGCTGGCGTAGTTGCTCCAGTCGTTCTCGTAGGAGCCGCCTTTGCCCCGGCCGTGCAGGCGCTGGTGGAGCTCCACCTCCTTCGTGGTCAGGTACTCCTCGCTCTTGCTCACGAGGTTGGTGCCCTCCTGGGGGACCAGCTCCAGGTACTGGGCCTTGTTCCAATCCCCCGTCGTCGACGCGAGCTCCAACGCTTTCAGACGCTGCGCCGCAACGTCTGCTGCAGCCTGCGTGCGGCCCAGGGCGAGGTGGTCCAGGATGACAGCCAGGGTGTGCATCTCCCGGACGTTGCGTAAAGAGCTGGTCTTCTCCGTCGTGGGGCGCAGCACGTGGATGAAGTAGCTCTTGGCGCTCGCCGGCGCGTCGTCCTTGTCCCAGCTCCTCGCCTCCCCGTCCCTGCCCACGGTGTCCTCCATGAGCTGGAGGAGCTGCGTGGCCAGACGCCCTGGGTGCCTCGCGGCCCAAGACACTAGGCGGTCCTGGGAGGGCCGCCCTCCGGACGAGGAGGCGTCGGGAAAAAGCGACGACGAGCAGGAGCGGCTCCTGTCGCGGCGGCCCCTGCGACTCCTGGAGCGAGAATCCCGGCGCCGCCGGCGCTCTGGCTCGCGCGAGCGCCGCCTCTTCTTCCGGGCCCTCTCGTACTCCCGCGGGTCGCTGGCGAAGACGCGGCGGGCGGCCTTCCTCTCTGCGCCCCCGCGGTCCTCCCTCGTGTCCCTGTTGTTCCTGTCCTCGTTGCCGTACCTCCTGCCGTGGTCCGCGTCCTCCCTTGCCTCTCTGCTCCTGCCCTGCTCCTGCCGCTGCCTGCCGCGGCTGCGTCCCCGCGTCTGCGTCCTCTCGCGCCGGCCGAGGCTGCGGTCCCGCCGCCGGTCCCCGTCGCGCTGGCCGCGGTCTGCCGCGCGAGCCGCGCTGCGGGAGTGACCGTCGCGCCGAGGCCGCTGGAGCCGCCCCTCCGGGTCCTCTGCAAGGCTGGACCTGAGAGCGTCGAGGTCGCCAGCGACGCCGCCACCAGGTCCCTCGAGGAGGACCGGGCGCGCGGCCCTCGGGGCGCTCCTGCGGTCCGGAGGGGGCTCCAGCGGCGGCGGCAAGGGCGGCTCGCGGCTCGGAGTCCGGCCGCCGGCAGGAGGGGTAGCGGGAGCGCAGGCCACCTGAAGGTTCGCGATCTTCTCCAGCAAGCTCTCATGCGTGCGCCGAGGGACCCAGGAAGCTGCACTGAGGTCCGGCTCCCGGGTGTTGGTGTTCAGCAGCCTCCATTTGCGAACCGGGACAACCGGCGCGCGCTTGAACAACTTCTCCTCGTCGTCACCTTTCCCGGCAGCGTGCCGGTACAACCCCGGATTGGGGTGGCCACCCTTGGAGAACATCCACCATGAGTAATATTCGTTCTCCGCGGACAGCATGGTGGCCTCGAATAGGCGGGCCTTCCCGCCAGAGCCGGCGACGACCAATAAACCTTTGCCTTGGTCATTGTTATAATCGTCGCGGCATTGAATCTCGATGACGTCCCCTGGGTACCATTCCGCCCGACTGGCGAAGTCTGCATCCAAGTCAGGGCTCACCCAGGGGCCAACTGCGCAGCCAATCGCCATGGCTGAAACAATCGGTACAGAGTGAGGCACAATGCATTCAAATGATCGCGTGTGCGAGCCTTGAGCCAAAATTGGCAACGGACCCGTCTGCTAGCCCGCCGGTGCGTGCGCGCGCGTGGAAGCGAAACAAAGCTTCCGGCCTCCGGCCAGGTCATAGCCGGACAGGCGTCTGTAAATGCATTGCGCTTGTACCCTCGACGGCCCCACTGACCATCTACATAGCCTTGTGGATGCCACGACAATGGACACCCTCACAATCCGATCATTGAATGTTAATGCTGTTTAAAAATGTTTAACGTGTAGGAAATGCTCTGACCATGTGTTAAACATATTTAAAACATGTCTAAGACATGTTTAGACATCTGGAAATTATTTGGCAACCTGCTTCCTCTCCATTGATCGTCCTCCACAAACACAGCCAAGCCTCGCACAAAGGCAACCCAAGGGGTCCAACGCGAGAACAAGCGAGCACGGCGCGAGAGGGCGGGAGACGGAGGGAAGAAGAGGCAGAAGAGGAGAGCCAGCGCGACGCCAGGGCGCACAGGTAGGACAGACCACCCGCATAATAAGGGTGGGCAACCTTCCCAAGGGTACCCTTGCATCCTTGCCTCCTCGGTCCATCCTTGGCCACTTTCGGCGGCCGCGCCCCGCTCGAAAAGCTTCGAGGTGGGCGCCCGAGGCCCTTGCACCCTTATCGCGCATCCTTGCTATACGGGCTGACTGTAGGACAGGTCGAGGCACAAGTAGAGGCAGCACGAGTGCTGGTAGCCGTCCCCGGGGTGGGTGGAGGCCGAATGGCGCCTGGAAACGAGTACCGAGGCACGGGTGCGTCCAGGAACCCAGCTGCGCAACGTCCAGCGCCAAGGTCTTCACTGAATTCTGGAGCCGGGGTCGGAGTCGGACCAGGAATCGAAGACGGAGTCGGCGCTGGAGTGGAGTCGGAGGCACATATGCCAAAAGGAGCCGGAATTGATAGCGTAGCCGGCGTCGGCCGCCGGAGCGGTGGGCGCGAAGGAGCCTGGGGCGACAATCGGAGTGAGGGCCACGTCGTTGCAGGGTCGGAGTCGTGGCGTGGATGGTCGTGGTTGTGCTAGTGGTGGTGCGGGTGGTGGGCTTGGTGGCAGTGGGAATTGTTGGTCGGCCGTGCAAAATCGGCCAGGTAGACGTCCTCGCCGCCGGCCAGGTCAACGTCAGCGCATCGGCGCCGGAGCTGGAGCCGGAGTCGGGATTGGAGTAGGACCTGGGGTCAGGGCCTGATCTGCTGCACGACTCCGCCATGGCAGACAGTATGGGGCCTGCGATGATGGAGCAGGCAGCGCGGGGCGGGCATGCGGGTCCGCGAGTGCAGGCAGCATAGAGCATAGACAGGTGGCTGCACGTGGCCCTCGTCGCGCAACCGGTTGGATGCGTCGCGCTGCCCGTGGCGTGCGCCGTGCTGCTCGTGGTGGCCTTCGTGCTGTGCGCGGTGCCCGTCGTGCAGCGCACGGTCCCTGGCGTGCTGCTCACGGTGCCCGTCGTCCCGCTCACGACTCCGTGCTGGCGTCGGGGCTGGCGCCGGTGCTCGTGCAGGCGCTCCCAAGCTGGCGCGCCCAAGATGACGCGTCAGGTTGAGCCTCGGACAGCGGATGGGCTGGCACGCCGAAATCGGTAGGTCGGGTGGGAGATAGGACGGCGGGCGGGCCACTGCGTCGGACTTCGTGCTGGTTGAGGTGCTGGTGCCGGCGCTGGTGTCAGGCGTCGGTGGCTGGATTTTCGTAATGGTCGGGTTGCGCTTGAGGCCGTAGGACTGATGAGTGACACACAAATGAATACACACAAATGACAGGATCCCCCATATTTCCCCATATTTTCTGGGTTTGGGTCTTCCCCCCCACTTCCCATATTTTCCCATATCTTCTGGGGAAGCGACGATGCATTGTGTCTGTGTGGTTTTCCCCTCCTGAGTTGTGGAGGCCATGGCAGCCCTCTGTTTCGTGTGCCTGCGAGTCGCTTCGAGAATCAGCTCCGCCGTGGTGGATGCGTGTAGTTTGACCCGCCGTCGGGGCAGGAGCCAGCGCAGCGTGAGGAGGAGGAGGAGGAGGAGGGGGAGGAGGAGGAGGAGGAGCAGGAGGAGGAGGAGGAGGAGTCATGGCAGTCGGGGCCGAAGTTGGAGCTGGCAGCTCGGAGACTCTGTCGGGCCCTCGGCTCGCGCCAGAGGAAAAAAAGGCGGCAGGAATTGTCCGCCCAGTCGGGTGCTCTATGCTCTAGTCTCGAGTGTGCCGAGTCCAGGGCAGGCGTCCTCGCTCCCTGCGTCACTCCATCGGCGTCGGAGCTGGGGTCAGAATCGAAATCGGAGCAGGAGCTGGGGTCTGGACCTGGTCTGCTGTTCAGCTCCAGTGTGGCGGACAGCATGTAGCTGGCGATGCTGCAGTCGATGGGGTCGGTGCTATCGGCCATGCGGCCGGGATAGAAAGGTGAACAAAGTGTCCCCCCCCCTCTCGGGTGGTCTCCCCATGAAGCGATGCCAGCGTGTGAAAGAAGTGGTCAGCAGAGACTCTGCATCGCCCCGCGGGAGGGGGCCTGCTGCTGCGGCCGGTGCCATTGGTGCCGCAGCAAAGCGAGGCGAGGAATTGACCTCGGGGGCGTCCGAGCCCCAGATCGCACGCACCTGCATGACATAAATACTTCCGCTCTGGCCGCGCAGTCGATGGGAGCGTCGCGCGGCCTGGCCTGCGTATCTTCGTGGGCCCGCCCGAGTCGGCTATCTCTGAGTGAGGGGATCGTTCCGGGCCGATCCCAAGAACAGAATCTGAGTCTGTTGCAGGCCGCTGGGGGGTGGTCTCTGGCCCGCCTCGCCACTCCGTGCCTGGTCTCTGGCCCGCCTCGCCACTCTGTGGTATTGCAGGCACGGCTGCCGTGGCCATGCGTCCCGTTGCTGCGGAGCGGTGGTCGGCAGGGGCCCTTCGGGGCTTGGTTCCCCCTGCCTTCCATTATCTGCGGTGGTGGGTCGCGCGGCAGTGGTGGTCGGCGCTCGCTCTACCGTGGTTTGGCCCGGCGAGGCGGGACTGGGCTGGTTTGGCCCGGCGAGGGGAGACTACCTCTTGGTTGGCGCAGCGGCGTCCACTGAGGCGTCCCGCTGAATCACAATTCACAGCCTGAACATGTTTGTAATGCTCGCGCCCGGCCGAGGTGGCTGTACTCGGTTGTGTTTTCGCTAGCTTTCTGTCTCTTCCTAAATTGCCCTTTCGCATGGTTCGGCTGGCTCCATGCGTTGACGGGCCCAGTTTCTCCACCGCGCAGCGCTTCGGTGTTGGTGATCAGATCTTTGAGTTTCAAGCAGACGTTTGAGCTTTCTGATAATGTAGCCTCCCAGGGCGCCCGTTCTCCTGACGTGGCCGCCTCTTGATATTCACACTTCAGTCTCCGTCCAAATCTCTTTGTGTTTCAAGCAGCTGGGGCAGGTGTCGTCCGGACGACCTGAGGTCGCTTCGCGACTGGTGCACGCGGGCATCTCCCAGACCTCTGAGTTTTCTGATAATGCAGTTTCCCAGGACGCCCTCCGACTCTGTCGAGGCCGCCGCCATCTGTCTAGTTCTCTGAGTTCTATTCAGCAGCTTTCCAGGGCGCCCGTCTTCTCACTTGGCTGCCATTTGATATTCTCACACGAGTTTCCGTTATCGCATTCCATGAGTTTCTTTACCTACCTCTCCTGAGGTGGGCCTCCGACCTCCCCTGAGGTCGACCACTTATGTGGTAGAACCTTCGATGAGGGTTCGAACTTGGCGCAGAGACTCTGCATCGGCGTCGGGGCGGGAACCAGAGTCGGAGTAGGAGCCGGTATTGGAGAAGTAGTTGGAGTCGGGGCTTCTCATGGTTGTGCTGCTGGCA